TGCTAATGAAAAAAATTAGAAGAAAAATTAGTGTGTGATTGTAATTAATGATTGAGGATATATTATTAGCCAGTTGCCCACATTTTCCTGAGTGATGAGAAATTCTTGGGGTACCAGAATAGGTTTAGAGTGCTTGGAAAAAAAGGATTATTTTCAAATAGATAAGTAGAAGTGAAAGTCTGCTTTCAGTCAGCGGAAATGCTAAGCATGCATCGGATTCCTAGAAATGGTTTCTCCATTACAACTGCAAACAGCCAACTTAACTTTACTTGGTTTTGCAGCCTTTTCACATTCACTGAAAAGCATCAGTTTCCGAAGCTTTGATGTGTACTACATACAGATGCTAAGAAAAGATTTTCAGAACGGGAAAACAGTTGGTTCTTACAAGTCTTGGCCACTGGTTGCTTGATTTTATACAGTAATCAGAATATAAAACAACACAAATCTGCATTTCCAGGAAAGCTAGAGAGAGGTTCTAGCCAAAAGCGAACTAAGTGTCAAGAAAGGGCAAGCAAATTGTTCAGATTTCTTCAGAATCCTTTTGTTCCAGGACCTAATTAGAAAGTTGCTTCTTAATAGCATGATTTCAGATTCTAGAAAACCACTGTACTGGTATTTAGTCGTTTTACAATGTTGCTTCCATTTTTGAAGTCACTGTTCTTTATTTTAGTTATTTTTTATCCACAATATTTAAAAAGAAGAACCACAGGTCTTTTGGGGCACTTAAGCATCCTCCTAGAAACACGCTACCATAATCTAGAAGCATGAAAAGACAGTTACAGCAAAGGTGCGAGGAAATCTTGAGAGAGGTCTGTATCCTTTCCAAGATGGTCTTATTCCCCCCCCCGCGCATAACGAGTGATACTCCCCACCATGATTCTTTGTCATACATAATCCTGGATTTTTCCTTTTATTCTTTGTAAATGTGTCCTGTTCTAAATTTTAATTGTATATTTATTTATTGTTTTAATAAGTTGTAAGCCACCCAGAGTCCCCCATTGGGGGGGGGTGTGAATGGGCAGGGACAAGTTTAATAAATAAATAAATAAATATTGAGAGAAATGTATGGACTTGCTTCCAAGGTTTTATGTAACAATGTTGTATATGTGCTAGATATAATTTTCCAATTATATATACATGCACTATTTGACAGGCTCAGATTTTGTGAATAGCATCTTACACTTGCTGATTTTTCTAATCCACAAAAGTCACCACTGGAATATAAAAAGGATCCTGAGATATTTTATTCCTGGAAAAGAATTCACTTCTTCACTAAAAAGAATGGATGTTGTACGTCAAAGTGACCATTATAACTTATGAACATTAAACTCTGTCACTCTTATCTTGAGCCTCAGGGCTTTTTTTGCTGCATATTCACGGAACTCTTAAGTCAGGACATTGCGGGGGGCTGAAACTGTGATCCAGGGGCAGTGATGGCCTCTTTCAGCCCAAAGGCTTTATTGAAACCAGGCAGGATAAGAGGAAATCGTTGGGACCCTCCATTCCCCCAAATCACTAAACTTTGATTTGCTTAGCCCAACTGGGTTAAACATGTCCAAATCCAGGCTCCCACACCCTTCAGAACGAATACCTACTCTGCTGTTTTTAAGAAAAAGAGAACATGCAATAATGATTGTGGAAATCTGGGATGAGAGGCAATAGAGTTGCGTAAGGAAGCCTACTAGGGCGCTTTCTTTCTACTTGTACTGTCAAATTTGTTAGGCGATTGTTCCAATAGCTTTTTTGGGAAGCTACTGGAGTATTACAGCTGCAACTATTCACCATTCAGGTAACATTTACAGTACCCTTAAAGCTTCTGAAAATGGGTTAAGCAGCACCCCGCCTCTTAATTGCTGTTGGAACCTTTACAATCCATCCTGGAGAACTGTAGGCAACTCAGCTACATTTTAGCCTGATGTAAAACCAGCCTGGGTGGCTAGACCAGTGTTTCTCAACCTTGATAACTTGAAGATGGGTGGACTTCAACTCCCAGAATCCCCCAGCCAGCCATGCGAGTCCACCCATCTTCAAGTTGCCAAGGTTGAGAAACATTGGGTTAGACTGGAGCTCAGCAAACCCTTCAAAATTGTCATTCCGGTTAAGCGTAGGTAAGCCTGTCATTCTAACTCGGCCTTTTTCAGTTATCTCTCCAATTCTATTAGAGATTGCAAAATCCAACTCTGGGCCCACCTACATATTTTTGCATGAATGTCATAACTTGGGAAACTGCATACATGGAACACCTGAAATGATCTACAGGCTGAGATCTAGGGCTGCCGACCCCCAAGAATTTTATTGACCCGGCTAGAATTCTAGCTGCATGCTCTCATTTCTTTTTAAGGTCTCCAAGGCAACCTACATTGTACCACAGAAACAAATGGGAGCATAACAAAGTAAAATGACATTACTTCCCCCCAGAGACAAGATTTGCCTCCCATTCCTATAAATGTCAAACACTGTTTCAAGGCAAATCACAAAATTAACTGTGTTAGTATTTTGCAGCAAAAATCAAAGAGAGAGAAAAAGAGAGAGAGAGAGAGAAACCCTGACTCCCACAAAATGTTTAACCTAGCCAAAGCTCTACCAGCAATTCTGGCCAAAACTACGTTCCTGGGTCTCCACCCGCTAGCATTCCGTGAGCCTGTACACCAGCAGAGTGCTGATGAGGCTTCGTTATATCTTTATTTCTTACATTTTTATACTGCCACAATCACAAGATTCTCAGCAGCACTCAACACAATCAACAATCCACATGGTAATTAGTAAAATCAACCACAGCCAGAGGAAGCATCTGGAGCAACATACAAAGGAATCAATCTAACGATAGCATCAATCTGTGAATTCAAAGGAGCTCTCCAAAAGAGCTTTTTCACCAACCTCTGGAAGGTAAGCAGGGCAAATTTTGCCTCTACAGAGCACAGGGGCCATGACAGAAAAACAAGGACTTCCCAGAAGCTTTTCCTGGAATGCCCACACGATCCAGGACAATTCTAGTCAAGGGTCCTGCAAATATCTCGGCTCCAAGCCATATAGGGCTCCTGCCCCATTCCCATTGGCCAGGCTGGCAACACTAACTACCGCAGGCAATTGGTGTTTAGCAGCTGAGTTCTGTGCCATTCAAACAAGGCCAATTTGGATAAAATCAAGGAGCAGTCCATTGACCACAGGGAAGAAAGGAAGATATTGAGGGGCAAGGCTAAGAGTGTTGCTGCTACTAGCAAGTAGAAAATTGAAAAACGAATTAAAATAGGGAGACACCCCACATAGTTCAATTTTACCTTCTATCCACCTTGACCGTGTTCTCCCAAACTATGACTCCCACACACAGTTGTACCTCTGCATCCCTCTGTTATCAGCTCATGCTCTCTTAAGTAAGTCATACACATTAATACATTATTATTATTTACTTTGATCTTCAAGCATTCAAGAACAAGTGTAAACATAGTATCAAAGGCCAACTGAATGCAAAAAAAGTGTTCTTTGTGTCAATTCAGCTTCAGTGACTATCCACAACAGGTTTAACTGATGGTGTCACAATAATCTTAGCATCGCATGCTAAGTGATAGGAAAGTTCTGCATTTTAACCTGATGCACTGAACGCCCATCCCTGACCTGAAGTGTTAACGACAGAAGACACTGCAAAGCTGTTACCCACCCCTCT